CTCCAAGGTCGGTCAGCAAGTAGATGAGCCAGCGTAGCTCCTGGGCCGCCATGGCTGTGGCGTAGATCTCAGCCTCACAACTGGAGCTGAGAACAAAAGAAGAGCGAGTAGAACGCCAAGAAACAGAGCCAGAGCCAAGACTGAAGGAGTAACCCTGAGACGACCGCTGAGTAGACTGGTCGTCTGCCCAAGAAGCGTCTGATTGCCCAGTGAGAACAACTAGGACTCGCCCTCCAAGCACTAGCCCCATGCCCGACGTACTGCACAAGTAGCGCAACACCCTCTTAGCTGCATCCATGTGCTCCTTCCGGTGACGGCCGGGAGCGACATAGCGTGCAAGAATGCTGAGAGGGTATGCAAGGTCAGGTCGAGTGCAGGTCATCAGGTACATGAGGCAACCCACAAGCTCTGGATACGGGCCACTCGGCTCTACGGCCTCATTCGAAGGCAGAGCTGAGAGCGAGTGACCGGTAGGCAGAGGAGTGGGCTGAGGCGAGGAGTACGTGAAGCGGAAGCGCTGAAGGACCTGCTGCACCATGTGTGACTGAGTCAAGGTGATGGTGCGGCGTGCTCTGTCCCGGGTGATCCGCAAGCCAAGATAGCTTGTCAGTTCACCCAGGTCTGTGCACGTGTGTCTCTTCTGCAGCTCCGACTTCACGTGGGCGAGTGCCACAGTGTCAGCAGTAGCAAAGACCAAGTCGTCGACGTACACAAGGACGTAGAACGACGGCAGTGAGGTGTCGGTGCGTAGAAACAGCGACGGGTCAGCAGTAGAAGGCGCGAACCCAAGAGCCGCAAGCATAGTCCTCAGTGTGTCGTGCCACTCACGAGGTGCCTGGCGGAGACCGTAGACTGGCCGCCGGAGGCTCCACTGGGTACCAGGTGGGAACGACCGAGTGAAGCCAGGTGGACGGCGCAACCAGATCTCTTCGTGCAGGCTGCCCTGTAGGAAAGCAGTGCTGAAGTTAAGAGAGTGGAGCTCGTAGTCACGCTGAGCGGCGACGTGCAGCAGAACTCGAAGAGTGGTCATCTTCGGGGTCGGGGAGAAGGTCTGGAAGAAGTCAACTCCCTCTCGCTGACTGAAGCCTCGTGCAACGTAACGCGCCTTGAAGACAGGCGGAGAGCCCGGCGGCCACTTCACCCTGAAAATCCACATGCCACTGACGATGTTCGCCCCAGGCGGGGGAACCTCGTCGACGTAGGTGCCTGTGGACTTCCAGGAAGCCATCTCTATGTCCATGGCTGTCTGCCACTGAGAGGAGTAGGGACCGGCCATCGCCTCTGCGTAAGAGCGTGGGGTTGGGATGTCTGGTGCATCCGGGTCTCCCTCAGGGGCAACAAGCATGGACACGAGATGGGGCAAAGCGGCAGCAAAGCACTCAAACTCCTCCTGCCTGTCCTCAAGGACGTTAGTGCCAAGAGCACCCTCACCCCCGACGGACGGAGGACAGACAGACTCAGACTCAGCAACCAGGCTAGCAGCGTAGTTTAGATGACAGCGAGCAGCAAAGTCGACAAGCTCAGCAACTAAGGCAGACGCAACAGCAGACTCAAAGGAAGGGTCAGTGACAACAGTAGCCAGGAGAAGCGTGACAGTAGGACTGGCAGCACGAAGAGAGTCTGACCCAGGGTCAGCCAGAGCAGGAAGAGAGGAAGCAGGAGGAGACGGCAATGGGACGCGCTATGGAGCAGTGGACGGACGAAGCGCCATCCGGTGAGTGCCTGGGACAGCAGGAAGACGCTGACGCTGGACACGACTACTACAGAGAGCAGTGCGGACAGGCGACTCAGGGCGAGACTCAGGCGACATAGGACGAGACTCAGGCTCAAAACGCTCAGTAAGACCTCCAGTCGGACCAGTGTAAGGAGCAGGACCAGGGAGAGAGGAGGCAGACGGTAACGGCGACTGCAGCTGGACAGACGGAGGACACGCTAAGGAGGGAGGAGGACACAGAGGAGGGAGCTGACCAAGAACCTGCTGAAGGAGCGGAACAAAGTACGGCCGTGACCGTGCAGCGACACCAGAGCCTGCACGGACACCCGCACCAGGGTCCGCAGCACCAGCAGCAACTTCAACGCCCGGGTCCGCAGCACCAGCAGCAGCTCCAACGCCAGGGTCCGCAGCACCAGCGGCAGCTCCAACGCCCGGGTCCTCAGCACCAGCAGCAGCTCCAACGCCCGGGTCCGCAGCACTAGCGGCGGCTCCAACGCCCGGGTCCTCAGCACCAGCAGCAGCTCCAACGCCCGGGTCCGCAGCACGAGCAGCAGCACCAACGTCTGGGTCCGCAGCACCAGCAGCAGCTCCAACGCCCGGGTCCGCAGCACCAGCGGCAGCTCCAGCGCCCGGGTCCTCAGCACCAGCAGCACCTCCAACGCCCGGGTCCGCAGCACCAGCAGTAGCACCAACGTTTGGGTCCGCAGCACCAGCTGCAGCTCCAACGACCGGGTCCTCAGCACCAGCAGCAGCTCCAACGGCAGCGGGGTCCGCAACACGAGGCATGACACTCCGAAGAGTGCAGCGCCGCCCGTACCACTCACGGATCCGCTCGCGGGAGGGGAGCTCCCTAACGGGAGAAGAAGCACTAGCACCAGTCCCAGCAGTACGTTCGGCACGAGCGGAACCCCTCCGGAGGGTGCAGTACTCTAAGTACCACGTACGCAGCTGCTCCGAGGAGAGGGCTCCTCCAGGTGAAGGACTCCCACGCCCAGTACCTCCAGACCCAGAACCCCCAGACTCCGGACTTTGCGCCTCAGCACTTCGAGGCTCCACACCCCCAAGCTCAGCACCCCCAGGCTCCACACCCCCAGGCTCCACACCCCCAGGCTCCACACCCCCAGGCTCAGCACCCCTTGGCTCAGCACCTCCTGGCTCAGCACCCCAAGCAGGACGAGAGTCGACAGCTACCTCAACAGGCTCAACCGGGTCTACCTGAGACACACCTGAGGGAGCGGCACCCTAAGGGCGGAGGGGGTCTGCAACAGCAGTACCTGGCGCGAGGAAGAGAGGCGGGGGGGGGGAGCGGGGCTGGCGCGACGCGCCAGGGGTGCGCAGCAGACAGAATACCGTCGCGCGCCCTCAGGCGCGAGCGCCCAAGGCGCCAGCGCACAAGGGGCCAGCGCGCTAGGGGCCATCGCGCTAGGCGCCAGCGCGCTAGGGGCCAGCGCGCTAGGGGCCGGAACGTTAGGCGCCAGCGCGCTAGGCGCCAGCGCGCAAGGCGCCAGCACGCAAGGAGCCAACGCGCAAGGCGGCAGCGCGCATGTGCAAGCACTCTAGGCGCCAGCGCAGCTAGCGCTGGTGACTAACGCGCCAACGCGCTAGGCACCAGCGCGCAAGGCGCTTGCGCGAAAGGCGCCAGCGCGCAAGGCGCTAGTTCGCAAGGGGCAAGTGCGCTAGGCGCCAGCGCGAAAGGAGCCAGCACGCAAGGATCCAGCACGCTAGGAGCCAGCGCGCAAGGCACCAGCGCGCAAGGAGCCAGCGCGCAAGGCGCCAGCGCGTTAGGCTCCAGCGCGTTAGGCACCAGCGTGTTAGGCTCCAGCGCGTTAGGCACCGGCGCATTAGGCGACAGGAGCGTTAGGCGCCAACGCGTTAAGCACTGCCGCAGCAATGCGACAGCGCGTTGCGATGTGCCTACGCAATGCAGAAAGGCACTAACACGCTGCCATCACGGCGCCCACTTGGCAACGCTCTAGCGGCTTGCGTGCTAGGTGCCGGCGCGCTGTAGAAAGGCGCCAGCGCGTTGCCGCATCATGCGCTAGCGCGCTAAAGAAGCAAGGCGCCGACGCGCAAGCCACCAGCGCGCTGCTGCAGCAAGGCGTCAGCACGCAAGCTGCCAGCGCGCTGCCACAGCAGGGAGGATGTCACTAATTTACTCACGAATGTGTCGTTTATTACGGGCGCTTGCCATAGTCGCTTGTCACTGGCGTTTATCACGGGCGCCGGGCGTTTATCACGGTCACAAGGCCAGTTCATGGTGACTAGAGCTTGTGAAGACCTGAGGTACTATCGTGAGATGGCAAGAAAGTGTGGGGTGAGATGGCAAGTAAGTGTGGGGTGAGATGGTAAGAAAGTTGAGGTACCTGGTATAATGAACTAGTTTCTTGGGATGTGTAGGGGTTTGGTAAAGAGGTGTTTGCACGCGTGAGCACGTGAAATTCAAGTGACTCACCTAAAGCTGAACCGTACATTTCACGTTTTGTTTGTGTGAGCTCTAAGAATATGACGAAAGCAAAAACGGAGTCTAATGTTTCATGTAGTACTAGGATTGCTTATTGCAGTACAAGTAATTGCACATAATCAGAAACTGATTATTATTACAACAAATAGTATTATTATTGCTACTACCGTTATTGTATACAATCATCCAGACAAGATAGAATGTTTTTATTAATCGTTAGTCGTAACATATAAACAAAATGCATTATGTATGCGACAAAACAATTGTAGATGGGGGAATGACACACGAACATTAGTCTTTTTTTTTTGCCGGTGTTGCGTCGATATCGCGTATTCAGCACTTATGCAACCCATACGACGTTGAACGTCGAGTCTTGTTTAATGGACGTTTATTTTTTTTATGAGTGGATGATGTTTTACCTATGTTTTCTAAGTTCCTCCACATCATGTATATACTGCACATTTTAAGGCTTCATTTGGTTCATAATAACGCGTCAAGAAGTCTCGGTCAACCTAGCGCCTCGCGTCTTGTGAGTGTTGCTCCAGTTAGGTTGTCCATCCTCAACCTGCGGCTCGAGGCCACTCCGAAGGTTTATCTAGGAAGACTTTCTACAGTTCCTCGAGAATTTCCTCTCCACCTTCCAAGGTCATGGACCATTTTGACGATGACCATGGTGAGGATGCCTCTCTTGCTGCTCTTAGGCGGCGAAAGAGAGGAGGCAGGAAGCACAAAGGGCCTTTCAGAAGAATTCTGGCTGTGCCAGACTTGATTTTAGAATTTCAGGCTGAGGATCTGAGGGAAAATGCACTCAGGAGTCTCAGCGGCATGTTAAACGACGTAAGATGCCTGCATCTTGATTTCGAAAACATAGATATCCCTCACAAAACTAATGTCTCGTCTCCTGAACAGAAACGTGACGATGACCAGTTCCTCTACGCAATGACTGGAATTTTTCTCTGCTACTCCTTTGGTACCCTACCCATCCTCATACAGGTAAACTTTCGTTTCGACATTTATTGACTTGACCACAACTCACAATCAAATGTTTCGCCAGGAAATCGTCTCTGTCTATTCGAAGTTCACAGATGGAGAAATTTCGGTCCGGGCTTCCAAACGTATTGGCAATGTTCTTACATTACTTCAGGCATGTTCTGAGTCCTGTCGTGTTTTTTACGAGATCATATGCTGATTTTAACAACAAGCAGAGCATCGCACACAACCCGGAGACCCGTGGTGAATTTATCAGAGGTAATAAATTTCTCTGGTTCTAGTGTTTCATATCTTTTGTCCCATTGTTGCTGATACTTCTTTTGTTTTTTTTTCGTTTGTAGCAAATATCGGGAGCTACATCTTGCCGTTGATACTCTCGAAAGAGAAGGCTCATAACGAGATATATGAAAACCTACGGCTCATGAGCCTTTCCGTGATCGCTGCGCTTTGCCAGGTAATATTCTATAATGTGTCTACGGAAGCTCAACACAATTGAAACCCATAGTCACGGCTGTATGATCAGGGGAAGGAAGACTTTGTCTCCCAATGGGTTCTTGAGGCAAAGGTCTTTGGCGTCTGTTTGCACGCCGCACATCTTGGCAGCGAACTTAGCAAAGTGGTGAGTGGTGTTGTTGCTGGCTGGTTTTGAGTTCTTATGCTGAAATTTGAGTACGCAGATGAGCACAACAATCATCGAAAGGGCACTCCAACATGACAACATTCGGAAGGCACTGTGTAAACCAGACATGAGAGGGACTCTTGAAGGAATTATTATTACATTCTGCAAAATGGTTGGTCAATTTGGGTTTTACTGTCAGCTGTTACATTTTTGCCGTGCAGAGGTTGACCTGGTTCAGTTTCAGGTGAATGATATCTGCTCATCTCCTGGTCCAACGGGCATACATCTTCTTGACATGGTCCTACAGTGCTGCATACTCCTCTTCACATGTATAAGGTACAAGTGCATTTCTATGAGGAGTTTGAGCAATTTGGTTGATGGATACTACCATAAAGCCATTCCAGGTCCAGTGGATCGCTTCGACTAAAGCTCATGCATTCCTTGAGGGACAGCGTACTGAATGAGTTACTCCAGGTATGTACGACTTCGGTTTATCGACTGGAACACAACAAATGTTTGCTAACAAAGGCTATCTCTTGCAGCCATACTCTGATACTCGGAGCAAACGAGTTCATGTCATGATGCTCCTGCATGACATTGATCCAGTTGCTGATGGCTCCACACAAAGCAGAAAGCCCCTTTCAGCTCTGAATGCAAACGCAAAGAGCCAGCAAGATCAAAGACAGAAGCGTGATGGCTGGGGGGCTAAGCGTTTTGGCTGAAAGTGATCTGCGTCTAATTATATTGGGGTGGTTATTTATGTCAAGCCTGCCAGCGTGCTCGGTAACCTTGTTGGTAGCATGCAAATGCATGCCTTGATCTTCTCATAGAGTAATGTTTGTGCCGCACCCGGAAAGGAGATGTACCTGTCCTGCTCTGCTACTAAGAGGTGATTTTCCAGTATGCCTTGGTGTTACAGCAACACGCGCTGAAATCAACTCCACTCCTTTTCAGTTGAGCCCACCCACACATGTTTAGCCAATCCAATACCGCAACACCGCAGTAAATCACTTCCCACTAGGCGCACCACCACACCAGGATAGAATGATACCCACAATGTTGTACCATACATACATTGATAGCAGGTTGGGTTGGGTTACACAGCAGAGTTCAGTTGCGACCCCCTATGGTTATCCAGCCCTCCCATCCCCACCACTTGCAGCAAAATAATTCATTGCAAACTGGACAGCCTCTTCCCATCCAGCCCCTTCTGGCAACCTATAAACACCTACAGCATCCTCCCTCTCCTGCTCCCTCCCCTCTCCTTTCAATGCCCCATAAACACCGTCCAATTCCCCTCCTTGTCCCTTCCCTTTCACTTCAATCACATTCTCTGCACGTACAGGTGCTTGGCAATGCATGTGCGCAAGCATCCAGCACATTCCTGTAGCAGCATCTCGACTGTGAGAAGAGAATCCAGAGAAAGGAGCGCCAGGAGAGCAACCATCCATAGCCCAAAGCGGGGATAAAGGAGCACATGTTCGCGGGAACTTGCGGCAGACTATGAGGAAAAGAGAGGATTCAAGACGGTTGTGATCGAAAAGAGGTTCGAGTGTGAGCGGCCGGTGTTGTAGTGCACGGGAGAGAAGCTGCGTGTAAGACAAGTCGCAATGACAGGGGAAAGGGGTTAGTAAGGGACACAAAGATACATGTGTCATTGAAAAAGGCTTGCCAAATTGGAAAAACACATCCCTAACTAGCAGCAGACACGAAGGCCTCATGCTTAACAGCTCTGCTAGCGCACTATGCATCAATAGGGTGCTGGTGACACCATCAGCACACCACTAGCTCCTCAAATCAGATCCTTGGTGAAGCGACAACACAGCAGATTCATTGCAGCTCCCAAAGCAGGAGCGCACCAGTCATCAGACAACCCCGCTCCCATGACCACCTTCTGACCCAGGAAACTCAAGGGTGTGAAGTGAAGCCAGAGTATGTGTCGTGTTCAAAACACTCACCTTGCCTGTCCCGTGCAATCTGAGCCTCTCCAGATTCATCAGCAGCACGCCATTCCCCACTCGCATCGTATCAAGCGATATTCGAGCCCTGGTTCTGCTGAACCAACCTCCGATCCCCAACAGCCCTCCCTGCTGCTGCTGCTCTCCTTCCTCCCCACTGCCCACCAGCTGAAACTCTTCCAGGGGAACAATTAAAGACAGAAGATCGCTCGTTCCCTTGCTCCGCTCGATCATTTTCCAGAGTTCCTGCACGTCGCCCCCTACTATCACGTCTGGTTGCATCACAATCGCAGCCTCAACCTGCCAAAGGATATCTGCCAGGAGAAACCGACCCAAAGCAGCAGGCCCGTCGGGGGACAGGTTCGGATGCGTGCCTAGGAGCCTGGCTTGGGCCTTGAGCCAGCGCATGGGAAGAGCATGAATGGCAAGCAAGAAAGGCACGGCAGAGAGTTTCCGAAGATCCGATTTGGACTCTTGATACCCGGACGACGCACCGACAGCATCAAACTGCAGCGAACCAGCAGCCGAAGGCTCTCCAGTGGCGCTGCCATTGGCGGTGGTGGCGAGGGGAGAGGCGACGGAGATGAAAGGGCTGGGCAGCGGGTGGATGCGCACAGCAGGGAAGGCGTGCAGCGTGGCGAGAGTGGCGTTGAGGTCGGTTGGTGGGATGACGAGGTGGAAGGTGAGCGGACACCTAGTGTGTGCTGCGATGGATGCAATGAGCAGCCGCAGCTGAGTCTGTATGAGGGGAGAGGGGCAGAGGGTGGAAATAGGAGGTTGGGGCGTGTGAGCATGGCTGGGGTGGCTGGGTTGGTGGGGTTAAGTTAAGCAACGGAGGTTCGGGCAAGCGAAGTAAGTAACGAGACAGGCGAAGTGAGCAACAGAGAGCAAACAGAATATATCAGGAACAACTCGAATAAATCCCACTCGTCCTAGTGTAGTGGAGTACGTCCCAAGCATCCCCCCTCGCCCCACTCACCAGCACAAGCGCATTCCTCGCCTCCCCTTGGCTGACCACAGCTACATGCACCCTCTCCCCCTTCCGCAACCCACACCGCCCCACCCTCCTCGGCACCCCACACTCATCCGCCTCTTCCACCCCACGCGGTGCCCGGTACCCCCCTCTCCCCCTCCCTCCCCCCACTCCGCCCCCGGCGCCCCCGTCTTCCCCCTCCGCCTGCTCTCTCCGCCGGCGCGGGCGCAGTAGCGCGGGGCCGGGGCGGAAGGCCAGCGGGCGGATGCCCTCGCGCACCGCCGCCAGCGCCGCTCCTTCTGCCAGACGCCGCGTCCACCGCGTGATGGGGTCGGACGGGCGGGATGCGCGGCTGGGGGGGAGTGGGGGAGAAGAGGGGGAAGGGATGGGAGGAGGGCGGAGTAGGAGAGGAAGAGGGCACGGGGAAAGGAGGGGGGAGAAAAGGGAGGAGCGGGAGGAGGGGAAGGAGGAAGGGCGAAAGGAGGGGCAGATGAGATGAGAAGAACGCAGGTTGAATGATTTGGGGCAGGGGAGTGGGAAACTGGGAACGGGGGTACTTTGTGAGTGCGCAGGGGAGGGCGGAAAGCGCTTAGGAGAGAAAGGAAGGGTCGAAAGCACTGAGGAGAGAGACAGGTTGGAAGTTTCGGTGTGGCGCCCTCCATCCCTCTACCCGTGCACCCTCCACTCGCCTCCACGGCTGCACCTCTTTCTGAGGATGGCTCGGCCAAGCCGAGGCAGGGACGGCGCGACGCCCATGACGTAAGCCGCGAGAACGAGCGACATCGCCACGAACGCCGCCACCGTGCGATGCCTTCGCGACGGCGGTAACCCGCCGATGCTCGCCGCGGCACCGCCCAGCCCCGCCATGCGACGTCGCTCGGCGTCGCTCATCGTCGCAGGGCCGTCGTCATGGCCGCCGCCCGCCGAGGAGGACGACGCTGTGGCCGAAGTAATGGGTGACGTCGCAGACGTCGCAGCAGCATCGCCGGAGTCGTGCTCGAGAATCGCAGAGGTGCCGGAGGAGCTGGATCCGGCGGTTGCGGTGGCGGGAGCGCGTGGATTGAGACGCTGAGCCATGCGTGAAACGAGCCGAGAACTCTGGGACTACGGGAGTCTTAGATCCGAGTTAGTGAGACTAACGGGTTAGGTAGGGAGGAACGGGGCTAGCGGGAATGGACGACGATGCGTATCTTTTGGAAGCTAGGCTATGAAGGGCAGCGGCAGGCGGACATGATAAGGTCGACGGAGCGAGCGGGCAAGCGCATTCACCACAGGCTACGACTTGCTACACCAACACATTTGGGGATCGCTGATACAATTCGGGTACTGAAAGAATCGACGGCGCGACGACGCTTGAACCAGAAATGGAAGAGCTGCAGCCCTTGGAATGGCGGTGCGCATAGCTCGAAGCACACCGGATTGAATTCCAGCGCCATCAACCCATGAAATTGGAAGGTTGGTCGTTTCAAAGCGGCGGCCATGGCTGGTTGGTGGAGGATCAGCAGGAAGGACAAGGGGTCAGGTCAGGACGCGGTCAAAGTAGACGATCGATCGTCTGTCGCGATCGATGTGTGAGACGGTTACCCTGTTTATAAAGAAGTAACCTCAGCTACAGTGAAAATTTTAGACAAAATACACGAGCATTCAGACAGGACGACTGATCGTCAATCAATCGCGGCATCGCTGGGAAGCAAATGCCGACGAACCGAGCATTACAGAGATGACTGATCCAAGTGCTTGCGACGTGAAATTATTTCGCTAAGTGGGTGAAATGAGTCGCACAATTTTCACATTTCACAAGGCTATCGATTCGCCGACCGGGTTGCCCTGTGAGGTGCGAAACTCGCACTCGAGCGTTTACGAAATTGCTGTAAAGCGGGTAATTCTCCGCGCCAAAGTGATCCCGGCGAATTGAACACAAGGCTCAACAGTTTTTTCCGATCGCTACAACGCCGGGTGTGCATCGTTTCACCGATCAATTCCCCAAAGCGATCGTGAAAATCGATTTTCTCTCACGATCCTCCGAATATGTCACTTTCACCGCGTCCAGGAACCAGGTTCGGTGCTTTGCGGTAAGGGTAGTCTTTATGACTATTCTTTGCTTCACACCAGTCTGTATGGCCATATTGCTCAAAAACGCATTTTGCCAACGAAAGGCTTACCAAATGCAATATTGAGTAGAATATGTTCATAAATAGAATGAAATATTAATGGTCCAACATGCATTGGACATGTTTAGCTCTACTGCTTCACAAATTTTTTTTTCTGGATTACGGTAAGTTGGTAAAAAGGCTAACTCAAGTAAGCGTAACTGTATCCATCCTAGAACAATCCTGAGTAATTCGCCAAACTAGGTGTGCGACACCGTCGGCCGAAACATCCAACACATGCTGTCAGCAACAACCGCGCGGGATCTCGATTGAAATAACCGCAATCGAGGATGTATTTACATAAGTGTTTCCATTTCGTGCATTCAGTTCCTGAACCCTCAGGGTGTGGAAGATCCTTATGAACAAGCGTTTGGTCGCTTGTCTGGTTGAAATTTTGGTTTCCTCAGCTCTTCGCGACTCTATTCGTTAGGTAACAAACAACACCGCACACTGCAAATCAGAGTCGCTTTTGGGATCGAGGGGGGAACTCCGGTCGACCAGCAGCGAGAAATCGCGATTATACACGAACTGTAACGACTCATCAATCCGTTCGTAGCAAATTGGATGCGTGTATTCCACTCACGACAACACCTGGTTGCAAATCGCATGCTTCTTCGTGTATCACCAGTTCTTGTCGTATCCGCGTGGTTAAAAAAGTGTGGGGCGACCAAGAACAAAACTTGTGGAACGTGCGTGGTTCTTGCAATCTTCGTCACCCCACTTCGAAGCTCAACGGCGAGAATCGCAAAAATGGTTACCGTCGCGGTTGAGTGATCAGCTCCTAGTTCAAAAGGATGTTCCACGCTCTCACGGCCTCCGAGCGGAAAAAACCCGAGCCTGCACAGAAGTGGCCTTGAGAGTGTGAACTGACCACGCCCCCAAACAACGAGTTTGTATCCTCGTCTTTCCTCCCATCAAGGATTCCCTGTGGTGTGGAAAGCAGCAACTTGGATTTCCATGCAGCTTGGTAAACTTGGTCAGCAGTTTTCATGACAAAGTAGAGTGTGTCGCAGCTTCTTGATAACCTATCGCAGTTCCTGAGAATGGCTGAAGCAGTTGCCAAGGATGCAGCTTACTACGTACGTCTGTTATGATTCTTTACCCTTTTCCCGATCTGAATTTCCCGTAAGCTCGTTAGGAACTCTGAAATATGACTGTACACTTCATCATTGCAGGAATCTAAAGGGATCAAGTATAGCGAAGTAAGTAACGGGCTGAATGCATCATGCTTATGCTCAAGCACTTGCCGCGTCGTTTATGGCGGAATTTCCAGCGTCTTATCCACGTGTGTGGCTCTTAACAGGAGTTCTTTACGAACTCGAGGGGCATGAAACTTCAGACTGCTTCATGGCTTCCTGCGAACGGCGAGCCAAAGGCCCTCATCCTCCTCCTCCACGGTGCGACCATCATGAGTTCCATCCCTTTCAAACGTGGCGTTCGCCTACTTCTTTCAAAACGGGATTCGAAGTAATGAAATTGTGCTGTTCGACTTGTCTGGATATCTGTGTGGCACCGTTTGATTATCCAGGTTACGCTGTGGACTGCACCACTTTTTTTGCTTGTAAGTTTGACTGTTTTTATATTCCACACACACTATCCCAGAATGGTCGCGTCGTCTCGCAGTGTCTTTGCGCCATTGTCCGACATGTGATTCTTCGTCTTTCCGTGCTTATGAGCAGCCACAGCAGAGCGGCTAGCATCAGAAGGTTATGCAGTTTTTGGAATTGACTATGAGGGACATGGAAGGTATTGACCATTGCATTATGATTCCTTTCACAGCTAACGACTTCAGAAGTCGACAGCTGCAAATTATGTAGATTTCTATCTCTTTTGTATCCTTTCATTTGAGCCAAACTGTTTGTGCCTGAATCTGTAGGTCAGAAGGTCTTCCAGTGTACATTCCGCTGTTTGAGACCATCATTGATGACCTCGTCGATTATATCACCCCTATTCGAGGTAACAGAGTCAGATGACTTATGGCTCTGCTTGGAGCGTCTTCCTTTATAATGCCATTCGCGTTTCAATCCTCCATCTTTTTATTGTGCACCCGAAGTTAATAACTAGACTTTGTTTTTGCTTTTGTATATGTGTGCATGCGTGGTATTGTGGATACGCATGTGTGGCTCTGGGGTGTGCAGAGCGCGAGGAGTACAAGAACAAGCGCAAATTTATGATGGGGGAGTCAATGGGGGGAGCAGTTACCCTCCGCCTGCACCGCAAGGAGCCCACTGCTTGGGACGGAGCCATTCTCATGGCACCCATGTGCAAGGTGGGGAATGGCAGCACGGATGCAAGTATTTACAACTTGGAAAAAGGGAGCGTGTGGAGTGGGTTGAGTGCCAAAGGAATGGAGAGTGACGGTATAGAAGGAAGCGGAGCAAGAGGAATTGATTGATAAGGGCTTGATGAAATCATGTGAGGTTATGGGCATGGTTGCTGCTTGGCTGACCCTGAGGAGTTGAATGTGTGCGCACCAAAGTCTCTTCTCTGTTGTCGTATCTGCAGATCTCTGACAAGGTGAAGCCGCCAGCGATCGTCACTGCAGTCATGAAAAACCTTGCATATCTTCTGCCAACATGGAAAATTGTCCCCACGTCTGACATCATCAGCGCAGCTAACCGCGACCCGGTTAAGAGAGAAAAGGTACGGAAACAGTTGCCATTTGACACAAAAATTGTTTGGTTTTTCTGCCACTTAGGAAGTTGTCGCTAGTTCTGTTTCCGTGCCATTTTTAAAGTACAAAACTCTAACAATCTCTTCATGGCCGTTCACCTGGCAGATCCGGGCCAGTCCGTACACCTTCACGGACAAGCCTCGCCTTCGAACAGCCCTCACCATGCTAGAGACCAGTGAAGACCTTGAGCGACGGCTGGATGAGGTATGCTGACCTCAGCAGTAATTCAGTGCTATCTTGCACTTTCATCTCGATCTATCAACTTCTTTGAAACCTAAAGACCTGCAACTATTACCAACGCCATGTGATTGTCATTCTTAATCCCTACCAACTTTGAACACCTTACATTTCGCCTATGTGTGTCAGGTGACCCTGCCATTCCTCCTGCTCCATGGTGACGCTGATACCGTGACAGAGCCTGCAGTGAGCCAGGTGTTGTATGAGAAGGCACGCAGCACCGATAAGACATTTAAGCTGTACCCGGGCCTCTGGCACTGCCTCACAGAAGGGGAGCTGGATGAGAACATTGAGATCGTGTTTAAGGTGAGCACGGGAAAAGGGGTTAAAGAAAATGAAGGAATGGAGGAAGAGACTACCCTAACCAAGTGATTCCAGTGTGTGTCCTCATTTGGCTGTAAAACGGCCCCACTGTTGGTCAGCCTTCTTGCACGGCTGTGTGTTAGGGTGACGAGTGTACACAGAGATCTGACGGCACAATTAATGTGCAGCACTGACTCTTTGACTGATCACATGAGCATCGCCATTGTTCCTCTATTCCTAACCTTTGTTCCCCAAAACCCCTCCCCTTCTCTCACCCCCCCACCCATCTTGTCCTCTTCATTCGTCTGTCCGACAGGACATTTTTGAGTGGCTAAGTGCCCATGCTCCTCAGGCGTAAGCCGCCGCACAAGTGCCTCCACGTTAAGACCAGTGTTACGGATGGTTATACTTGAGATTCTGTCGGCCAGTAGGAGCTTTTTAGGTTCATCAGGACTTGATTATGCAGTGTAGATGGTTTCTTGAGCATGTTCAAAAGAGCTAACATATATACTGCAATAGATGGAGGTTGAGAATTTAGAAAACTAAGAACTCCTGTGGATATCCTCAGCCTGAGTTGCCGTATACATGGAATGGAACAGGTTATGGCAGCAGGCAGATGGTTACCTTGACAGGAAGAGTAGTAACCTCAATTCAGCAACTCTGTCGAAGACAGAATGCTGTGCAATTTAGAATGACGAATGAAAATGCATCCCGAGTATGTTGGGATGAAGCCTGGAGGCATTCCAATAGGAAGAACGCTGTATGTGAAGTCCAAGTGCTCATGGACACCATTCTTTTAGTCAATCATTACCCCATCCCTGTTAGTGTCAAATCCGTTCTTCCTCAAAAGGAAGAGCTGAGCTCATAACCAGTTGTGGCATTCAGGACATGGCGTCGCCTGCTGATGCAACGGCCATGTCAGGCAATGGAGGGAGTATGGGGCTGCAGAGAGCCGGTAAAGCACCACCAGTGGTGAAGGGCTGCTGCAGCATGGTCGGGTGAGGCTGCATGGGAGCTTGCATGTGCGACCCTTTTGGGGTTGAGTGCGCATTCAATGGAGCCCATGGATGTTGAGAAGGCACAGGCAGCCAAGGCGCTGGTATCGGTAACTGTAAGAGTGTCTTTGGGAGTAGCTGTGGCGGTGGCTGTGACAGCAGCTGTGGCTGGTGGGTGGCAGCGAGGGCATGCGGTCAAGCTCAAGGTCCTGACATGCCCTCCTGGGCGAGATACTGCTGCTGCCTGTGCCACTCAGCACCTCCTTCCAAGGTCCCTCCCTGCTCCTCCGCCCACTCTGGCAGGGCTGTCCCAGCAGCACGTGGCGCGGTCCCAGCAGAACCTGGTGCTGCAGGCCTCTCAGCCTGAGGACCACTCGTCAAGGGCACGGTAAGGGCGCCCCCACCCAGCAGCACGTGAGCCACGGGCGTGTCGAGAAAGAGAGTGCCGTTGTCCTTGTCACTGTGCTTGTCAGAGTTGTTTATGTTGCCAAGCATGTTAATGCATGCATCCAGGTATTCTTGCTCCTGCGTGCCACACGTACTCCCAGCAAGCATCGCAGTAAGGCACCTGCTCGTGCAGCCAGGAGTGGGGCCAGGCAGACCAGCGAGCGGCGAGGGCATTGGTGCTGTGAATGGCTGGGCGGGCGCAGGAGCAGACAGAGCAGCACGCTGCGTGGAGGTAGGGACCTCGCAGCAGAGTCCCAGCAGCACGTCGTCTGGAAGGGCGCTCTCTGACGCAATGCGGAGCCATTCCTCCCGGTGCACTGCGAAATCCCTAATGCAGGGTGCGAAATTCCCACAGCAAGGGGTGGAATCACCAAAGAAGGAAGCGCAGCTAGGCAGAGCAGCGAGCTGTGAAGGCATTGGCGCTGGCAGCGGTGCATGCGGCTGGGTGGGCGGAGGAGCAGACAGAGCAGCACGTTGCTTGAAGGCAGGTTCGTTGCTGCTGAATCCCAGCAGCACGTCGCCTGGAAGGGCACTCTCTGACCCAACGCGGGGCCAGAACACCCGCTGCGCCCTGCTCCTCGCTCCTCCCGGCTGCTGCTGGCGATGCTCCTGCTGCAGCAGGGCCTCCAGAAGGACTTCGTCCGCTGCCTGCTGCTGCACGCGGCTGCTCTCCCCCTGCTGCTCAAACTGCTCTGCCACTGACTGATGCCGGCGCTCCGTGCTACACGCCACCCAGCCTCGCACTATTCCCCCTGGCACCACCCCCTCTCGCACCACCCCCTCTCGCACCACCCCCTCTCGTACCACCCCCTCTCGCACCACCCCCTCTCGCACTACCCCACCTCGCACTACCCCACCTCGCACTACCCCACCTCGCACCAACCAGCTCTCACGTCCACCGAGCAGCGGCTGTTGTGTTGCCCCCAGCGTGGGACACTCGTCCCTTGGTCGCTTCAGCGCACGACGCCGAGCAGCATTGGAGGCAGCAGCAACGGGGAAGGCTTCATGGGATACTGGAAACTCGGCAATAAAAGCAGCCGCAGTAGCAGAGACGCTGGCGGTTTGGGAAGGAGGAGGAGGGCTGGCAACAGAAGAGAGGTTCAGTGAGGCGGTTTGGCGGCAGCAGCGTGCGTTGGGGGCAAAGAAGACAGCCGTGCACTCGTCAAACGACAGCCCTCCGAACGCGAGGGCAGCTGAACACACGCCTTCCGGACGCTGCTGCTGCTGGAAATCCTGACAGAAAATCGGCTGACTGTCTCCGTCCGAAGAAGCGTGCTGGAGGAATGCAGCTCCTCCCAGGTGATTTCCAAGGCAGCTCTCGCGAAAGCGGTCAGTGAACTTCCTGTTATCAACACACAGAGCAGAAAGGCTGAGGTGTGTTATATATGCTCACGCGTATCAAGAAACCTGAGTTCAAGAAATCATGCATGCGGTATGCGGGGTTACCTTCTGAGGAAGATGTAACGGTTACAGCACGACTTGTTGCTTCGGTTGAGCTGACCGCTCCTCCCCAGCTCACCCCACTGCTTCGTGCCGCAATGCAGCGCGTGGCGGAGCAGCACCGCGTCCTCCTGCCGTGGGAGTGAGGGAGGGAAATGATAGCGTTGCCATCATGAGCTGTGAGTGATTCTCCTCCAGACGCTCTTTTCGCGACACCGCCTCGCAACCCACCTCTCGCGACCATGGCTGCATGCCGAGCGGCGACGAGGGTTGCGAGAACGGCGGCGAGTATGGCGGCTGGTAAGCTACGGTTCTTGAAATCGGCACCACACGGTGTTCAGAAGAAGTCGGGTGTTGGCACGAGCACATAACATGAGTCGGGTTCAGAAATTAACGGTCTTGAAAAAAACGTGAGCCAATACTAAACTTGCATCTATCCACCTTGGCTGGCTCCACGGACGGAAACGCGGCCTTGCGGTACGGTCAAGCAGCAAACGCAAGCACGAGCCCATTGTGGGTTGGGGTCCACCATTGGCCCTGATCAGGACCTTCCTTGCCGACATTTCTTGATTCTACTAACGCTGGCCAACGGGGTCGAGTCTTGACCGCAGCAGGGTATGCCCCTTATCGCGGCACTTCCCAACGCAACCTGCGAGGCCTCGAGTCGCGCGGCATCACAAGGTGTGCGATGGGAGGTCAGCAGTAGAAGGGGTGCGATAGCGAGGATGATGCTTGAAATGTGGGCCGAGTGGAACACCGACAACGAGGGGCGCAGAATGAAAGGAATATAGCGGCACTCCCGCTTTAAAAAACCCTCCACTACTAGGAGACAACGAGGAATCGTAGGCGTGCAGTAATAGTATACAATACTGTGCACTGTCATCTGAGGTCCTTGGAACCAGGCCCGTCATACGTTTACAGTAGTATGATTGTACAGTCGATGCTCACCTTATCCCGTGTCCAAATGTCGACTTGAAAAACAGTCACTCGCGAACGTTTTTGCCCGTGAGCAACTGAATTGAGCATCTACAGTTGATAAACGACAACGGTTGCCTGTCATCAGAAATGCTTACTGGTTACGAACTTCAAACCCTAGTCTCGATTCACATTCCAATTTCATATGTCACATTTTTGCCCGTGGCGACAAGGGCGAAAGTGGCTAAACCCTAAACTCGTTTATCGCACATGCCGCCTGCCTAACTGATTTTCTTGTAATGAGTTCCGTTTGTATGGAAATCTCGGAGAAGGAGCCGCCTTTGTGTGAACACCTGCCAACCAAATTCGAACCCTGTTAAAGCCCACCAAATCGTTATTAGATCACCAGACCTGCCCAGTGTGACTTGGCTTCCGAACGCGAAAGAAATCCAGTCAGAGTGAGGGCGAGGACACTTACTACGAGATTGCGAGCACAGGCAAACTTGACCATCAGTGAAAGTCTAACCCATTTCTGCTTTCTAGTTCCACCCAGGCAGGCCTGCTCCGAGTGGCATGCTGAAGGGTATACGTCTCGTTAGTGTCTTTTTGGGTCAAATTAATGCATTTTGATCCGTTTGTTCAAAGGTGAGAGATCGTGCCCGTTCATGTTTTTCCTTTTTCCATATCGAGGGGTTTTTATTTGTCGGGCTGATTTTTTGTTTGTTGATCGGGCAGCCTCGTACAGAAGTGGAAAAATGTTCTGGAAATTTCTTCATAAACACATGGTAACTTCTTGCAAATACGGACGAGACTTCCTTCCAGTGTGAGTGGAGGCCCGAGGCTACGAAACAAATCGTAGGCTTCCCCAGTTCGAGTGCGCCCAGTGTGACTGGAAGGCTACCGAGCACGCCCTGATTTCGAATGCACAGCCGTGTAAAACGCAGTCATTGGCTGCAGTGCCCGCTACCCCCAAGCTTGCACATCCAGACCAGATGCACGGAAGGGGAAGGCATTGTTGATCTAGCAAGCAACTGCGGTGGAATGCCGTATCTCGAGCAAGACTTGGGGAGCGAGCGAAACCAATATTATGTTACGGAGAGGATTCTGTTCCGGCGTGCAACTGTTGGGTAGGGGGAGGGAGGGAGTAGGCAAGTGCTGCGGTCAGCAGGACCAACTGGAGCAGTTTGCCTGCCTATTATTTTTGGGTCGCGAAGCAACCAATCGTGTTATGAATTGTACTAGAGTGAGCGGAAGACTTTATAAAAAGGATGTGAAGTGCAGAATCACGAAAATGTTGAAGGAGCAAGCATTTATAGGGTTGAAACCGTGCTAGGCGAGGACCTCGGGACGTGGATGGTTTGGAAGTGTCGCAATTGGTGCGAGGCGACTCGGCAGTGGTTCGGACCGAAGTATAGGCCGAACTTGAAACTGAAGCGAAGAGCACGGAGCTGTACGCCCTAGGAGCAGACTCAGTAATGAATAGCGATATTCATTACACTCTCCCACCTTCTAGATAATACCCCCTTATCTGTCGACGAGTCTTGCAGTAGCGTGAAAACTGCAGATCTAGGTCGAACTGATCTGACGGTGCAGAAGCGCGTTGACTTTCGAATTGATGCATGGCTGAGCGCGTTGACCATGTTGGGCTGAACGCCCTAGGATCTTTGGTAGAGTTAAAGTCCGAATAAACGATGTGGTAGCGGAAGCGTTTTTTGAGTAAAGTCCTTGAACCACCTTGCGCTGGTATGTGAGGACAAAGTAAGTTGATTAAAGCAAAGAGATACAAGCTTTTATAAAAGTACAAGGAATACGAAGAGATACAGTTAACAACCGTTTTGTTATTGCTGTTGCGGTTCGATACAGTGACGACTCGGGCAACTGCTCAATAGCGAGTCAGTCGTGTGTCCTTGCTGTCGCGCTGCATTTGTCAGGTCAAAGGTCGTTGACCTTTGACTTTCGCGCAACCTCCAGCGGTTACATAAACCTCCGAGGGTTGACTCGTTGGTGTTTCGATATGCGCTGCTTTGCTTGTGTCTTGGTGTTTCGACACGACAGAAGCGCTTACGACTGTTTGTTCCCAACACTCCCCTTCGCTTCTGGAGTATCACTGATGGTGACGTGGCTTTGTCCAGTCAGTAGCATGCAGTACTCGAACTTCTGTTTTCCGAGCTTCTTGGTCAAGTAGTCAGCCGCCATCTCGGACGTGGGACAGTAGGATAGTTCAAGTTTTCCCTTCTCGATCTCGTCTTTCACGAAGAAATATCGCAGGGTGATATGCTTCGTTCTGTTCGCGAATCCGCTTTTGTTGGCGATGCGAATCGCAGATTGGTTGTCGCAGAACAGAGTGAAGTTGGGTAACTCGGCTAACTTCGTTTCTTCCAGCAGCTCGCGAAGATAGAGTCCTTCCTTTCACGAAGAAATATCGCGAAGTGCGATATATTCTGCTTCAGCTGACGAGAGAGCGATGAGTTCCTGCTTGCTTGATTGCCAGGAGATCGGTCCAATAGGTTCGAGGCGGTAGATGTAGCCAGTGCGGGAGCGTTTGTTGTCTGAGTCGCCGGCGTGATCGGCGTCGATGTAGCCGATTAGTTTTGTCGGTGTAGTTGTGTTCTTGTGGTATGTCAGACCGATCGTTGAGGTGCTTACGAAGTAGTGGAGAGCGCGGTCGAGCTTCGCCAGATGTTCTGCTTCGGGTCTTTTGAGGTAGGTGGCGAGTTGACTTGCGGAGTAGGATAGATCTGGGCGGCAGGTGACGGCTGCGAAGAGAAGGCAGCCCAGGTTTCTCTGGTAGTCGCGTATCCCGGCGGTTTTGAGTAGGGAGGATGTCAGAATATTATGCTCTAGCCTGTAGTGGGGTGCTCTATAGCGAGTACAACCCTTCTAGGGTTTGCTATTTGTATCCTCATTTTTGCTAGTGCAACCCTCTTCTTTCTTCTAAATTCTCACATGCTATCAGAGCAGGTCGATCCCCTTGGATCGATCCTATGGGTGGGCTTACCACCTCCTAGCTTCTGCTGCAACTCCTACCTCTACACTTGGTGCCGCACGCCCCATGGCGTGTGGCAGGCGCGCGGCGGGGGCGATGCGACGGGCAACGGGGACCCGCGCGTCGCCCCCCGTCGCCCGTCGTGGCCTGCGCGCGGCCCGTTCAGGCAGCGCGCGGCCCGTACGGGCTGCACCAGGCCCGCGCGCGGCCCGTACGCACTGCGCCAGGCCCGCGTGCGGCCCGTACGGGCTGCGCCAGGCCCGCGCGCGGCCCGTACGGGCGGCGCCAGGCCCGCGCGCGGCTCGGGCCGCCTGCGCGCGGCTCGGGTGACCGTACCAGGCCCGTGGTGGGCCCGTTCCTTGCTGCCCCTGCCCTCCCCGCTGTCCCCCAAGCTTCTACAAGCGCCCCACCCCTCCTACTCCCCATTCTCCTGCATTAGGGTTTGGGGGTGAGGGGTATGGGGGTGACCCACCTGTATGCCGTTCCCTGCTCCTCCTCCTCCTCCGTCTCCTTGTGCTGCAGCTGCCGCTGAGGGGGGGTGGACTTGCTGGAGCCGGTGGAGTGGTACTAAGGGGGGGTGAAGGGGGAGTGGAGCTAGGCGTGTAGCAGCGGGTGTGTGTCAGGGGGAGTGGGATAGTTTGGGGAAGCTGAATGGAGGTTGCCGTCGTGTCGCCAGCAGCACCTGTATTCCGGGGAGTTGCTCCGGTAGCCCAGTCGTAGCCAGCTGTGCCAGTCGCCCGTGGGTCCGTTGCTCGTCTGCCGCTACTTTAGCCGCGGGGCAAGTTACTCCAGTATTCCGGAGCGCTATTCCGGTAGCCACTGTGCCAGTGTGCCTCCTATTGCCCGAGTGTCTGCAGCTTCAGCCGTCGCCTCCTATCTCCTCTCCTCTCCTCCTCACTTGCCCTATGCGATAGCCCCTAGCTTTGCTCATAATTGTGAACTTAAACTATTGCTTCTTCAACTTGTGCTCAGAATGTGTGGTGACATTGTGATCCACCCTGAGCTTGTACTGTTTTGCTTGCTCTGCTGATTACACCCCAATTCGGCTATGGGGGTGTGTCAGAATATTATGCTCTAGCCTGTAGTGGGGTGCTCTATAGCGAGTACAACCCTTCTAGGGTTTGCTATTTGTATCCTCATTTTTGCTAGTGCAACCTTCTTCTTTCTTCTAAATTCTCACAGAGGACCCTTCATTGTGGTTTCCTGTCGTGTAGCGGTAGGGCGTAGAGATGGTGGTAGGTGTGAGCGCAAAGCGTTTGGCGATGGTGTCGGCGTACTTAGCGGCGTTGAGGTAGATCGCGCCTTCTTCCTCCCGAATGTTCAAGTCGAGGTACTGTGTGACGGTAGAGGAGACCGTGAGTGTGAGGTCCCTCTGTAGCTCCCCTTCGAACCAGGTGGTGATGTCGCCGGTAGAGCCGATGTAGAGTAAGTCGTCTACGTAGACGATCAGCAGAATGTAGTCGGCGTTTACGGTGAGTCGGTACATCCCTTGGTCATGAGGCAATTGGCGGAATCCCATGCGGGTGAGGCGAACGTGTAGGTACTGTTGCCATAGCCGCGGGGCTTGCTTGATCCCGTAGAGCGATTTTAGCAATTGAGAGACTTGGTTAGGTTCCCCGTGGGTACCGTGTGGAAGCTCGACGAAGATTTCCGCGTCGACGGGTGCGTAGAGGAACGCGTTGGCGACATCGATTTGCCGTAGTTTCTTCTTCTTCATAGCGGCGATCGCAAGGAGAATTCGAAGTGAGGTATGTCGGCTGACAGGGGCGAATGTTTCGGTGAAGTCCCGTCCGTGCTCCTGATCGAATCCACGCACGACCCAGCGTGCTTTGAATTTCTCGATTGTGCCATCTGCCTTCGTTTTGATGCGGAAGACCCATTTTTCGGTGAGAATGGTCTTGTTCCTTGCCACGTTGATGGGAACAGCTTTCCAGATGTTCCGTTCCTCCAGCGCCTTTAATTCTCTGTCCATGGCTTCACGC